TTCAATGGACTCTCCTTCGGATTTGTTGCCTCCACCGGGTCCGATCCGCATTTCGTCAGTAACTTCCACGTAGAAATGCGTTTGCTTTTCACCCATCACACCAACACCGCTGAGCATCGTGATGATCTGAAACATGGAGGCTGGATCCACTTCGTACCTGCGGTTTTAAATTAAGAAATGCATTCTGCCAAGTGTTGGACCAATCGGACGGAATACGAAAACAAAATGAACGCTTTTGTATCTGTATTATGTTCAGGAAATACGGCAGTTGGTTTAGAAGCTTTGGAGCAATTCGAGAAGACTTTCTGGATTTCGGAAGAACTTATTTTCTTCAAGGTTCACCCAAGTAAATAAACTTGAACCCAATGTTTTTCACCGCTCTATTCACCGGCTTCACTGAACTTCTTCACCTTCGATAGTCCACCGATAAAAACCGGAATTTTGATTTTTGAGCTCCCTGTGTTCTTACGGCGTCTGAGTCAGAATAAAATAATGTACACGAACTTCAGCGTTCATGGTGGAAGTCTTCAGTCGAATTGTAGCCTTGATATCCAAAATAAATCAGTTTCTTTTCTGACACTTGGTTACAAATCTTCATAACATCTGAATCGTATTTTCCGGGATAGTTTCAAGACTACCAGCAAAGTCATGGAGATCGTGGATAAAATTCAAATACACAATGGGAAAGGGTGCACTTTCAACTCACTGCCTTCTCTCAATTTATACACGGTTTGGCGAAATCCGAATAATTCAGGGTAGGATTTCAGATCACTTCATAAATCTCCAGTACTACAAACGTTATTCTTTGTTCACTGTGAAACAAATTGGAAGCTTAAAAATCGGAAGTCTGCGAGTTACACTCATAATATATTTTTTTCAATATCGTGTGAGGCCTGGACATGCAAACGTTTCCGCGCATCTCACCACGTTCACATCACGAATCGATCACTCGAACGCACTGCTTCAAAAACTCACCCAAGTTCTTCTTCAACCTCAGTAGCTGCAATTTCTTCTAGTGAACACGATTTATCCACAATTCCTGCGCAGATTTCCAACGTGTACCCAGCATCAGTAGGATGCTTCTTGGTATCGATCTTCGAACCGGGTGTGACAAGTGTTTCGCGTTCGTCCGACGGAATTCCGTTGAAATACACTGCCGGACGGAACTGACGCACGAACAATAATTTCCTCCGCGTCACGTTGAACACCACGATGCCGACACTTTCGTGAACTTTGACTAGATCCCAGGCTTTATTCTGACCATTTTGAAGGAACTTGAGTC